AAATTGAATTAGGTTGTGCACAGCATTATGGTGTGATACAGGTGATGATGGAAGACATGCAGGGGGAATCAGAACTGCTAGTTTGTCAGGGTGAGTGACAAGCACGTGAGATGTTGTCTCAGCAGAAGGTACTAACTGCTGTAAAGTAAAATGCATGGAGCCACTAGAATACTGGTCTCCTCTGGAGCTCCTAGGTGGCAGTGGCCAAGGAGTGCAAGAATGCCAGTTCAAGGATCTGCTATTCTGTGAGCAAGAGGTTCCGAGAGGTGGGACTGTGTTTGGCCAAGCTCAGACCATCTCACCACCAGCAGGTGAGCTCTGCCTCTTCTGTTTGGCAGCTCTCTGTTGAGTCTCCAAGAACAAAAGGCTTTCAGAAATCTAAACCTAGACACTCAGACTTAAAAAGAATAACTATAATTGTGTATTGAGGGAAAAACAAAACACCAGTGGGTGGCAGAGGAGGTTGCCATTGAACAACAGTGCCAAGATGCTTTGTACACTGGGAGAAGCCTTTCTGTTTTGCCTGTAGACTGCTGTAACTGAGAATAAAGATACAATGGTTTTATAGAAAACTTGTCTTTTGTTGCAGGGAAAATAAAGCAATGACATGTCGTTAGCTTTTCATTATTTGATATGAAATAGGAATGAGGCAAGCTCCATTGAAATTACTCTGACTTCCAAATACAATTTATAAATGTTTAAAAAGTTGAATGTTCAAAGATAGATAATAGCAAAAGAAAAGTAATTTAGGAATGGGGTTTTTCTTTGAAATTTAATTCTATAGGTAAAATTTACATTTTATAAGAGTCTTGAACTTATGAAAATGGGGTGCTAGCCTCCTTTTTAAATCACTTTAGATAAGTAACATTATAGTATAGTATTACAGAAAGAAAGAGCAGAGTAGCTTAGGGTTCCAGAAAGAACAGAGTAGTTTGAAATGTGTGTGGGTATGTGGGTGTGTGTTAATCACTCAGTAGTATCTGATTCTTTGTGACCCCATGGACTATAGCCTCTGTCCATGGAATTCTTCTGGCAAGAACACTAGAGTGGGTTCCCTTCTCTGGGGGATCTTCCCAACCCAGAGATTGGACCCAAGTCTTCCGCATTGCAGGCAGATTCTTTACCACCTGAACCACCAAGAAAGCCCCTCTCTAATGATAACATCTTGAAAAATCAATGTTGATAAACATCAGTATTGAGTAGAGAGTAGTTCAATCCTCAAACCAGTGTACTTGTTAACTTTTCCAAATTTTCTTTACAAAGAGCTTTATTAAAGATGGAAAACATTTATGCATATAAATTGTAACTCATCTTAAAAAATCAATACTTTTGATCAAATAATGCACTTGACTGCTCACAATCTGTTTGCTTCTTTTTTTTTTTTCTTACTACATTTATTGACTTGAGGGCTGGAAGGGATATTGCAGAGGCACCTTTTCTACTCTGATGCTCTCAGGCTGTACTCTTCTAGAATTACCCCCGATGGGCTCAAAACTGCTTTTACATTTTACTTTTTGCATGAAATGTTTCCCTTGCAATTTCTTATCCCTGTGCTGCCCCACCTGGCATCTACCTCACTTCCAGCTTAACCCAGCTTGGTTTTGCCTGCCCCTTAAATCCTTCTATCAAGAAACTTCTCCAGTGAAATTTACCTTGAATGCCTTAAGATAACTGAAAAGTGTGTAGCTGAGTGAGAGATTATATATCCTCTGAGTCTCTGTGGCCCATTACCACATAACTAGGTTATCCCTTTTTTCTCTACCTATCCTAGGCAGGTATTTTCAAGTATAAACACTACAGGAATATTCCTTTATTTTTCTCATGTTCATTATCTCCAATGAAAGTGATACTTGTTTTTTTTTTAATTAAAACTAAAGAACAGACTTTGTACCCATATGAATAATTCTATAAGGAAATGGATAAAAAAGAACAGAATATGTTAACTTATAATCGGGTTGAAAAGAAGTGAAATGAATGTGTTTGCTCATTCAGCAAACATTTATTAAGACTTTACTCAAATACAATGAACTGAACTGAACTATGAACTTTTCAAGTTCCACATGTACTAACTCAAGTAATTGGTAGGGAAGCTTCCATTTTTATTTATTAAATTTTTTTGAGCATGTGCTGTAGCTCTCCCCTTACACTCTGACCTGAGAGCTCTATAGCTGGCCTGAGCTCTACAGTGCTGTTTCGTTGTGTGTATAAGTAATTCATTAACTGAGAGCTGAGAAGAAATGAATCTCCTAGTCCATAGAAACGTGGATGTCGTAACACTTTCTGTGTAGCTCCATTAAACTTCCTCTCTAGGTGTTATGGCTTTGGAATGTTCCATTTTAATCAGGTCACAATCCCTACCCTGTGGCCTGCACAAGTTTAAGGTATTTGAACTTTTTATAAGAATAAATGGATTCCCATTGTGGAATCAATTATGGAAGTGAAAAAGAGTTATCATAGTCTTATATATACCTGGTACAAGCTTGTGGAGATGGTGATAAGGCTCTAGAATGTTTCAGAGTTTCATATTAGGAGGCTTTTTGCTTTCAAGTCAGTAAACAAACTAGAATTGAAATACTAACATTTGATTGCTGCTTCCTATCTGAACACCCTGGGTATATACCAAGTGATATCTAGGTAAATGGTACCACTGATGCTAACCTCATTCTCCCCTTCAGTCTCCAGATCCCTTGACCTAAATTCTGTGTCTGTTTTTTATCAGCCACTTAAAAAAAGTTACTGACTCAAGAATTTCAACCACCCGGGAAACAAAGACCCCTCTGTACTCTTTCCCTCTTTTTCCCTGTTAAAAACAAACACATGTCTTCCTCCTTCCCTCAATGCTAAACAAATGATACAAATGCTCATTCAGTCTTTTAAAAAGGTTAAAGACAGATCATAAATATAAAACATAAGGAAAGTAACAGATAATAGTGTAAAAAGAAAAGCATGGAGTCAGGTAGTAAATAGGCTAGAGGGAAGGGAGAAGAGAATTTATAATGTAAAATCAAAGTTAAGGTAAGCTTCTGTACTTGAGAAATTTAACTCTGAGATTCTGGTGAATAAAGCAAGAAATTGAAGCACAGTGGGTTCTTAACAGATTTTGAAGGGAAACAATATTTTTCCTAGCTCTAAATTATTAGAGGAATTTATCACCTGGGTCTAAAACTAATGGGCAGTGAACAATATAATAGATGAAGATAGCATTGCCAATTTTATTAAGAGTCCTATTGGCACTCCTTAGATCTTTCTTAGATAAATTATACTTAATATGTAAAAGTTGCAGTTGACATTCAGACTATGATTGCTACAGTTTTTAAAAGCCTATGATAATATTTTCCCACTACCTCCACTACCCACTACCTCCACCTCGTATTTCCCTATGTCATTACCTATAGTGTTCCAGTTGTTCACTAAAATAGCTAAAACAGTCATTAATAGTACAAGTTTCCCCCACTATAGGAGAAATCCTAAAAAGCTACATGCAAACCCTAGAATCTTAAATTGGGACATACAGGGTCAATTTTTCTAACAGATCTCAAACTCAGCTGTTTATCACCATTTCCCAGCAAGCTTTGTCAAAATCAGATTCCCACATCCACAGTGTCACAACATCCAGATCCCAAAAATTCTAATTTATTAGTTCTAGGTACATGCCGAGAAATGTTTTTAGTTTTCTTTTTTTTTTTCAAAGAAATTATCCTGCATCGTCAGACATTTAGGATTCCCTAATCTGACCCATTCTCCTATCTAATACAGGCATCTCCAATTCACATTTCTGGGAATCAGTGGCCAGACCATGTTGCGGGGTAACCCTGACTCCATGTAAAATGATGTTCCATTTATTGGAAACTTCTAATCATCAAATCATATTTTTCTACAATGACTTTAAGGATATTTCATTTCATTTCTGGAAAAGGAAATGGCAACCCACTCCAGTATTCTTGCCTGGAAAACCCCATGGACGGAGGAGCCTGGTAGGCTACAGTCCCTGGAGTCTTGAAGAGTTGGACACGAATGAAGCAACTTAGCAGCAGCAGCAGCAGCGGCATTTCATTTCTGATTAAACTTTCGTTGTGTTAAGGGCTACTAACCCTTCTAAATATCTCTGTTTTTGTAGTCTACATCTCAAATATTTAATTGTCTTATGAAAAAATGTAAATGCTTCAGGGGAACTCTATTAAATGACACATGACTATTCATCCTTAAAATGTATATATTGTAAGTTGAAATATATTTTATCAAAGCTGTCAGTCATATATGTCACCTGTTTCTCATACTAAAAAATTCTGAACAACTTTATATCAGTAACTGTTAAGTTGATATCTTCATCTAAGGTAAATCTTAATTAGATACATTGTCTTTTAACATAATTTGGAGTAATTTACTTACAATAATTATTACTATTTTGAATGCTTCTCTAAAAATTCTGCCTCTAGGAAATTGCAGCTCAGATGTTTAGGATGTGACCTGAATTAAAGATCTTAAATTGTTTAACATGAATAATGAATGACTGGAATAATTTATGAGTTATACATTTCAAATTAAGTGAATAGCCAAGAAATAGAATTTCACATAAAACATTGAATATATTCTCATAAGAAAGATTCATTATGTGTATGAGTCCCATGTGGTAAACAGGGCTATATATGAAATGGCATGAAAATAAACTTAAGGGAGAGAAAAGTAAATTAATTAGATCTGTCATATTTCTCAAAGGGAAAGAAACATAAGACAGAGCAGTCCCGTTGTAACTGAGCCTTAGGAAGGCTAACTGACTGTGGAACTATTTTCTCCATTCTTCACATCTTTATTATAAATTGCTTGGGCTTCCAATATAAGCAGTCTTTGGGAGAATTGAGGAAATGACTGGATCAGGCCTCTCATTCAGGGATGTCAAAGGACATGTAGCTGGAGGCAATGTAATTTCTTCACACAGGCTGGTATTCGGAGATTTCTTTATCAGTGCAGAGAACAAAGGTTAAAAAGCTGCTTCATTCCAGGGGACTCCGGAATCAAGAAACAGACTCGGCACCGGGTCATCATTCAGCTGCCAGCCAACGGAGGCAGGGACTGCACGGATCCACTCTATGAAGAGAAGGCCTGCGAGGCCCCTCAAGCGTGCCAGAGCTACAGGTAATGGGGTGAAAGAAAAGCCTTGTGAGCAACGCACTGAGAGAAACACTTCCGGTCCTATGCTTTCCGATGTTAAGAAAAGGAAGCTAACACTATGCGCAGACTCAGTGGAACTGAGGATGTTTATGACTGGGGGCACCATCTCTTGCCTTTTTTAAAGAGCTGCTTTGCTGCCAAAATCATCTCCAGGGACACAGATACTTGTGTAAACTTCCAAGCTCTATTTTTAGCTTCGGGAGCTTGAGGAAAATTCTTTTGTTGATATAAACTATAGGAAATGCAGAAAAGTGATTAATAATTATGAAACATGTGCTTTCAAAAATAGCCAAAGCAGTCCTTTCCCCCTGAGCTCCATAGAGCACATGTTCTTCATGAATGCTGGCATTCTGGCTCAGGAGATGACATCTTTATATCAGTGATGTTAATAAGATGTCTGTTCTCTTCATTTCTGGTCACCTCAAGGAAAGTAAAGCTATTGAAGCTATATATATCATCATCATGATAATTATTAGAGAAAAGTTTTTTTTTCCATAACTATTTTTAAGACGTACCTAATTGAAGCTTGATGTAGTGAAAACCTGCAGTCCTGACAAAACTTGCAGTGCCAACAAATGAAATATTACGGCATCAATTGATGGAATGTGATCACAAAATAATTTAAGATGAAATTGATGGCAAATTTGTCATCTTAGTTTATCTGTATTTAATTCTGAGATGACAGACAATGTAATTGTATGGTTACATGATGGACTTTAACTATTAACCCAAACTTATTTATTTGGGAGATTTGTTTTTCTGAAGTGCATTATAAATTGCACCTTCTGGGTTACCCCTATGATGATAATCAAAAGAGCTTTATACAAAAGGCTCATGTCTTGAATGCAGTTGTACAACTTGATTATAAAATAAAATATACCTTTCTAAAATGAAGCACAGCACTTCTGGTACTATCTGCTACATTTGCTGGCAATCCTAACCATTAAAAAGGCTAAATGTGGCACTTCTCTGGTAGTCCAGTGGTTAAGGCTCTGTTTCCACTGAGCGGGGTCACAGGTTTGATCCCTGGATGGGAAACTAAGATCCCACATTCTTCATGATGTAGCTTAAAAAAATTTTTTTAATAATTTGAAATTTTTAAAGGCTAAATACTGTCAGTAGAGTTCATTCCTGTAGGAATTGACAGTGATGGACCCTTGTCACCACTGCCATAGAGACTACTTTTATATTTAGTGCTGCTTTTTATAATTCCTTGATGAAGTTTAAATTGAATTTGGATAGGACTGAAGCATTGTCAAATTCCTTTCTGTAGCGATCAAAGTCATGGCTCCGTGGCACTGTATCACTATGATTTCTCCGGCATCTTTGCTTTTCTCTGTGTGCGGCTTCTGTTCTTTCCATGTAGGTGGAAGACTCACAAATGGCGCAGGTGCCAGCTTGTCCCTTGGAGCGTGCAACAGGACAGCCCTGGAGCGCAGGAGGGCTGTGGGCCCGGACGGCAGGCAAGAGGTGGGAGGCCCCATTCCACAGTTGATTTGCTTCACATTTCTCCAGCATCACTGATTTAACCACTAGCTTGCCTGTAGAGTTTGTTATTCTGACACCACATTAAGCAAGCAGAGCACATAAAAATCTGCTACTATCCATTCTACCACAAACCAGAACATGGAGACCTGTCTTTTTAAGTTGTGTCTTTTGTTCTTTGACATTAGTAGTTCATTTGTCATTGTTGTTGTTTTAGTTGCTCACTTGTGTCCAACTCTTTGTGACCCCATGGACTGTAGCCCACCAGGTTCCTCTGTCCATGGGATTCTCCAGGCAGGAATACTGGAGTGGGTTGCCATTCTCTTCTCCAGGGGATCTTCCCAACCCAGGGATCGAACATAGCTCCTCTAATTACACTGCCATTCATGCTTATCTGAAAGATGATCAGAATGTACAGTGCAGCTTGTTTTTGTTGTTGTTCTTGTAATTAGTTTTTGGCTCATGGTATTCCGTAACACTTTGCTTGTCACCTTAACAATCAGTAAGATTCTTACATCTTTGCCCATATGCATTATGTATGTGCATGCATATAATGTAGTATAATTGGTTAACTTTCCCAGAAATTCTCAGCAGTGACTTTCTTGTCATTGTCATGGCTACCCCCAATTCAGTTCATATTTAGTACTGATTTTTAAATGGCAAACTTCTGTGCTCAAAACCTGCCATATGTGGACTGCAATCTGTTGACACTGCTAGATAACATGGTATCTTGCAGAAATGAAATATGGAAATATTTCCAGCTTTCCATGATTATTTACTAGATATTATGGATAATACTTTCATTCCAAGCTTTGAAAAGTGTTCTTTATACATGTAGCAAATTCATTCTGTAAAGAGTACATGATCCTTTTTACTTGTGTGGCTTATAGCATTTAATTCCAGATACATATTTAAAATGTACTTTGAATATGTAATTGAATACATAACCACCTCTCTTTAATTCATAAAAACATGTTTTGCACCCTCACTTGTAGTTACATATTTGATGATATTGTAAAAGTGTGAACATACAGAATTGATTCCAGTTTTTGCTGATTTCATCTGGGACCCCTTTTCTTTAGAGTAAAGGTTGCTTTTTTTTAAATTTGAAAAAAAAATAGCATCATTTTTGGTAAAAATCTTCTATTTTGAAAGTCATTTTAGAAAGCTTCATTGGAAACATTTAGTTTACAATTAACATTAACTAGTTAGTGATTTTCAGGATTTTGTTTTAATGCTTATTTTTCATTCTGTATCCTCTACCATCAGCATCAGCTAAAAAATAACTCTCTCCCTTCACAGTTTCAGAGACTTAGGTATTTAGAATTGAAAGTCTTTCTCCCCATTTCAAACCATTCATGAGAAATTGAGTGATATAAGGCTTTCTTGTCATGCCCTGCTAATTTCCCTTGAATCAAGCATACATTTGCATACAGTCTGGACCCTGCATAGAGTTAATAATGAAAATAGGCATGCGTTTAGGAATCAAGAAACCTAAATTTTAGTCCCAATTCTTTCACTCACACAATGTGAATTTTATTCATCCCTTTACATTTCTAGGTCTCAGTTTATTTAGATGGGGAAAGAAAAAGAAAAGAGGGCTGGACCAAATGATCTGTTACAATTTTTTCGTATCCTACAATCTATACACAGATAATATCCTGCCATCAAATGAATTTAGGTAAAACAGTTGAAAACTATATTTTTGTAGGCACTGAGGGAATTCTAAGATGTAAAAACTGTACAGGTTGGAAACAGCTTTAGTTTTGAACTCTTTTACTTGACTGCACAACCTTGGTTTATTCATTTCTTCTCTCTGAGGCTGAGAAAGTAATGATCCTTACAGTGCTTTGCACATAGTGAAAGTGAAAGTCGCTCAGTCGTGTCCGACTCTTTGTGACCCCATGGACTATACAGTCCTTGGAATTCTCCAGGCCAGAATGCTGGACTGGGTAGCCTTTCCCTTCTCCAGGGGATCTCCCCAACCCAGGGATCCAACCCAGATCTCCCACATTGCAGGCAGATTCTTTACCATCTGAGTAGATCTTCATTAAATGCTAACTCCTTCCCCCTTCCTGTTAGATCATGGTCTAATGAATGTGTGCATAGATCGTTGTAGGCATAAAAGCAACAGTATTAACATGGGTCTTTAGTTTTTTATTGACACAGTCCATATAAAGCATTTCTTTTGGTGATTACCAGTGATCTTTTCATTTCCAAATCTGAAAACCTCTGCTTATTCCTCTTCGTAGTTGACTATTCATTATAACAAGTAATGTCTACATACATATACTTAGAAGAACCCCTTTAAATTCTGTCTGATAATCTTTTTCTTTGTTGCCTTGATAAAGATTATATTTTTCCTCAGAGCTTATATTCCTACAGAAGTATGAAATGGAGAGAGTTAAGAGTATAAAAATATCTTGTATTAATGGTAGAAAGGCAAAGAATTCTTTTGTTGATGGTCATGGCTGTTTTCAGCACTCTGCACAATTGACCCGTCAGACTCTTGTTTTATTTCCATCTTTGCCCTTATCCTGAGACTTTTAAAAATGCCAAATTGTGCTCTTTTGAATAATTAAAATAAGAATGTAAGAAATTAGTATCTTACTAAATTGTAAGATGATGTAGTAAAAATTATTATCAGTGAGCAAAGACTGCTGCTGCTGCTGCTGCTAAGTCGCTCAGTCGTGTCCGACTCTTAGCGACCCCATGGACCGCAGCCCACCAGGCTTCTCCATCCATGGGATTTTCCAGGCAAGAGTACTGGAGGGGGGTGCCATTGCCTTCTCCAGAGCAAAGACTATGGAGAAGCTGTTCCCCCTTCCTGATACTTCAGACTTTCTAGTTCCAGTCACTCTTGTGACTCTGATTGCATTCAGAAGACTGTGTAGAAAGAGCCATGAGTGATAAGAAGGGATGAAGATGTTCAGCCCAGGGAACTTAATTCGTTGAGGGAAATGAGATCAGTGGTAACATCGCCTAACAAGGAGGAGATAAAGACGGAAACCAATCCATTGCAAAAGTAGTCATTTGAACATAAAGAGCTTAAGAAAGATCTAAAGGATGAGCTGGGACTTGACTTGTACCATAACATTAGATTAAATAGAAAGGAGAAAAGAATAGAAAATGAAAGCAAGTCTATTAGTTAAGCATCGGAGGTAAGGAAAACAAACAAAAAAAATTAAATGTGTTCACAGAAAAGTGGATAGATTGAAGCTCTGAAGATGTGAGCTGGAGCCCGGGGTAATTTTGTAGACGGCCATAAATGTCAGAATCAGTATTTTAGACCTTGTTCGATAAGTGGTGCAAGAAAGGACCTGATGAAAGCAGTGTTTTATCTGTCAGCGTGTACAGAGTAAGTTAGAAAGATAAGACACATGGGTCTGGATGCCAGCCAGGGCATTGTTGTAACAATGCAAGGTTGAAGAACTCAGACTGGAACCACTGTAGTCAAAATGGGTAAAAATAAGTGGATTTTCAACATGTAATAGAAGAAAATAACATTAGGACGTAGTAGCAAACAATAGCAGCAGAGATGGACCTAAGTAAGTCAAAGACGATCATATAGTTTTTAACTCTAATATTTTCAGTGTGTATGGCATAGGGGATTATTTTTTAAAGAGAGTTAAATACTCTGTGTGAATCTTCTCCTATAACTAAAAATCTTATGAAATCTCAGCTCAAATTTAGATTTTTATCTAAACTCATTGTAAAACACTGCATTTCAAGACTCAAAAAGAACAGGATTTATTCTGTCCTTCATTCTGATGTGAACTACATTTTGAAGTGATAATTTAGATTTCTTCAGTAAATAAAAATGTTGTATGAACCAAAAGAAGAATTAATTTACTAAGTATGAATAGAAAGGAAATACTGTATGTGTCTCATATACTACACATCACTCAGAAGAACACTTGGAAAGTCACCATTCATTTTTTCCAAAATGACTCGAGCCTTTCCTATTAGTAGAAAAAAATATAACCCTTAGTTCTTTTACCAGCTTCTAGCAAGCTGCCCTCATCGTCCTCATATGGAGTCAACTGTAGGTACTGTTAGCCACTTGCTAACAACAACAGTAACAACAAAAATAGCCAGTGCAGGAGACTTAAGAGATGTGGGTTTGATCCTTACATGGGGAACATCCCCTGGAGAAGGAAATGGCAACCCACTCCAGTATTCTTGCCTGGAGAATCCCATGAATAGAGGAGCCTGGCAGACTATGGTCCATAGCATTTGCAAAGAGTTAGACATGACTAAAGGGACTTAGCACAGCACAGCCATTATAGACAGATGTTCAGTTTGACTCTTAATTCTATTATTAGCATAACTCCAGCTGTAGGAGCTATCAGCTACGGTGATGCGTTGCAATGGAATGGAAAGCAGTTATGCTCCCAGAGTCTCTTTAATAAAGAGTCACTAACAGTAGCTGCTTATCATCCCAGTGCTGGCACTCCTTGGAAAGCAAATCAATGAGAATCAGCCTTCCCCACAAACGAGTTAGAATAACACAGGTGTAAGAAGATCGGAAGATTCTACTCCAGTCAGGTAAATGCAGTCATGACCAGGTCTACATTCTGTATATTTCAAACCTATATGAAAGTACTCTCTATGGAAATGCTTTACATTAGAACACAGTAGGGAGTTAGAAGTAATAAGGAACTTTATCAAGGCTTTGGATGTTGAGAATGGTGCTTCCAGAAAATTTCATCTAGCAGTGGTGGTGGTTGTTTAGTCGCTAAATCACATCTGACTCTTTCGTGACCCCATGGATTGTAACCCATCAGGCTCCTCTGTCCATGGGATTTCCCAGGCAAGGATACTGGAGTGGGTTGCCATTTCCTCCTCTAGGGGATCTTCCTGACTCAGGGATCAAACCTCTGTCTCCCACATTGCAGACAGATTCTTCACTGCTGGGCCACCAGGGGATCCCTTATCTAGTGGTATAAGCACTGAAAAGAGAGAGGAGAAAAAGAATTTTAAAG